CCCCTCAGTTGTCTTTGTGTCAAGGTTGTGAGGTTACCAAGATTTTATCTGATAAAGTCCCAGTAACACACCAACAGTACACCAGTAACACACCAACAGTACACCAGTAACACGCCAACAGTACACCAGTAACACACCAACAGTACACCAGTAACACACCAACAGTACACCAGTAACACACCAACAGTGCACCAGTAACACACCAACAGTTCACCAGTAACACACCAACAGTACACCAGTAACACACCAACAGTACACCAGTAACACACCAACAGTACACCAGTAACACACCAACAGTGCACCAGTAACACGCCAACAGTACACCAGTAACACACCAACAGTGCACCAGTAACACACCAACAGTACACCAGTAACACGCCAACAGTACACCAGTAACACACCAACAGTGCACCAGTAACACACCAACAGTACACCAGTAACACGCCAACAGTACACCAGTAACACACCAACAGTGCACCAGTAACACACCAACAGTACACCAGTAACACACCAACAGTACACCAGTAACACACCAACAGTACACCAGTAACACACCAACAGTACACCAGTAACACACCAACAGTACACCAGTAACACACCAACAGTACACCAGTAACACACCAACAGTACACCAGTAACACACCAACAGTACACCAGTAACACACCAACAGTTCACCAGTAACACACCAACAGTTCACCAGTAACACACCAACAGTTCACCAGTAACACACCAACAGTACACCAGTAACACACCAACAGTACACCAGTAACACACCAACAGTTCACCAGTAACACACCAACAGTGCACCAGTAACACACCAACAGTGCACCAGTAACACGCCAACAGTACACCAGTAACACGCCAACAGTACACCAGTAACACACCAACAGTACACCAGTAACACGCCAACAGTACACCAGTAACACGCCAACAGTACACCAGTAACACACCAACAGTACACCAGTAACACGCCAACAGTACACCAGTAACACACCAACAGTACACCAGTAACACACCAACAGTACACCAGTAACACACCAACAGTACACCAGTAACACACCAACAGTACACCAGTAACACACCAACAGTACACCAGTAACACACCAACAGTACACCAGTAACACACCAACAGTTCACCAGTAACACACCAACAGTTCACCAGTAACACACCAACAGTACACCAGTAACACACCAACAGTTCACCAGTAACACACCAACAGTACACCAGTAACACACCAACAGTACACCAGTAACACACCAACAGTACACCAGTAACACACCAACAGTACACCAGTAACACACCAACAGTTCACCAGTAACACACCAACAGTTCACCAGTAACACACCAACAGTTCACCAGTAACACACCAACAGTTCACCAGTAACACACCAACAGTACACCAGTAACACACCAACAGTACACCAGTAACACACCAACAGTTCACCAGTAACACACCAACAGTGCACCAGTAACACACCAACAGTGCACCAGTAACACGCCAACAGTACACCAGTAACACGCCAACAGTACACCAGTAACACACCAACAGTACACCAGTAACACGCCAACAGTACACCAGTAACACGCCAACAGTACACCAGTAACACACCAACAGTACACCAGTAACACGCCAACAGTACACCAGTAACACGCCAACAGTACACCAGTAACACGCCAACAGTACACCAGTAACACGCCAACAGTACACCAGTAACACGCCAACAGTACACCAGTAACACGCCAACAGTACACCAGTAACACGCCAACAGTACACCAGTAACACGCCAACAGTACACCAGTAACACACCAACAGTACACCAGTAACACGCCAACAGTACACCAGTAACACGCCAACAGTACACCAGTAACACACCAACAGTACACCAGTAACACCAGCAGTAGACTCAACAGTCTCTTCTAACGTGTGAAGCAGGTACAAGGTGTGGTTGGGGGTCTTCGCTTCACTTGGACACAGGCGAGCGGTCCTCAGCGAACGCAGGTTTATTCCTGTTTCTGTGTCCGTTGGGACGCTGCTGCCAGTTGTCTCATCCCTGTTGTGTTTGGATCTGGCATCGCTCTTCATCTGCTTTCCCAAATGCTCGTTTCCTTCTCCAAACTCCAACGCAGCAGCCTGGAACTAAAGTAGACTCAGAAGGTGAAGCTGATGTGTGTGTGCAGGAACGTGGGCAGTCAGTGGGCGCTGGAGCAGGCCAAGTACAACCTGGTGAACAGGTACCTGCTGGTCGGAGTAACGGAGGAGCTGGAGGACTTCATCATGATGCTGGAGGCCGCGCTGCCGCGCTTCTTCAGAGGAGCTACTGAGCTGTACAAGACAGGTACCGCACACACACACACACACACACACACACACACACACACACACACACACACACACACTTCTCAGGAACGGTGAAATCTCCGAGCATGTGGGCGGGGTTAAAGGCGCAGGGAAAACTGTGTGTTGTCTCCCTTAAATGACGGTTGTGCAGCTCAAGGCACGGCAGCGCTGTGTGTGTGTGTGTGTGTGTGTGTGTGTGTGTGCGTGCGTGCGTGCGTGCGTGTGTGCTGCTGTAACGTGTGTGTGCGTGCGTGTGTGTGTGTGTGCTGCTGTAACGTGTGTATGTGTGTGTGTGTGCGTGCGTGCGTGCGTGTGTGTGTGTGTGCTGCTGTAACGTGTGTATGTGTGTGTGTGTGCTGCTGTAACGTGTGTGTGTGTGCTGCTGTAACGTGTGTGTGTGTGTGTGTGTGTGTGCTGCTGTAACGTGTGTGTGTGTGTGTGTGTGTTTGTGTGTGTGTGTGTGTGTGCGTGTGTGTGTGTGTGCTGCTGTAACGTGTGTGTGTGTATGTGTGTGTGTGTGTGTGTGTGTGTGTGTGTGTGTGTGTGTGTGTGTGTGTGCTGCTGTAACGTGTGTGTGTGTGTGTGTGTGTGTGTGTGTGTGTGTGTGTGTGTGTGTGTGTGTGTGTGCGTGTGTGTGTGTGTGTGTGTGTGTGCTGCTGTAACGTGTGTGTGTGTGTGTGTGTGTGCTGCTGTAACGTGTGTGTGTGTGTGTGCTGCTGTAACGTGTGTGTGTGTGTGTGTGTGTGTGTGTGTGTGTGCTGCTGTAACGTGTGCGTGTGTGTGTGCGTGTGTGTGTGCGTGTGTGTGTGTGCGTGTATGCGTGTGTGTGCGTGCTGCTGTAACGTGTGTGTGTGTGTGTGCTGCTGTAACGTGTGTGTGTGTGCGTGCTGCTGTAACGTGTGTGTGTGTGTGTGCTGCTGTAACGTGTGTGTGCGTGTGTGTGTGCGTGTGTGTGTGTGCGTGTATGCGTGTGTGTGCGTGCGTGTGTGTGTGTGTGTGCGTGTGCGTGTGTGTGTGCGTGTGTGTGTGTGTGTGTGTGTGTGTGTGCTGCTGTAACGTGTGTGTGTGTGTGTGCGTGTGTGTGTGTGTGTGCGTGTGTGTGTGTGTGTGTGTGTGTGCTGCTGTAACGTGTGTGTGTTTTGTGCGTGTGTGCGTGTGTGCGTGTGTGCGTGTGTGTGTGTGTGTGTGTGTGTGTGCGTGTGTGTGTGTGTGTGTGCGTGTGTGTGTGGGCTCGTCGCAGCAGTGAGAAGGACAGGCTGCAGCTTCATTCTAATTCTGTGTAAGTTTAGCAACTGTACTGAAAAGAAATTTATGCTTATTCTCCTCAATTAATGCTGAGAAATAAGCAGTTCTAGTTTGTTGAAGCTTATTTTTATAAAGCACAAGACTATATTTCCAGGACAGGTAGGCCTCCTCATGGTGCGTAGAGCGCCATGTTCTCTCCAGTTTCCTAGAGTTTTGTTTTAAGGCTCGTAGATGAGAATTAAACCAGGGAGCCAGCTTCCTGTCCCTAATTATCTTCTTTTTTAAAGGGGCAACATCATCTAATGCCACACGTAAAGAGGAATTAACACGATGAACTAAGGCATCAATTTGTGAGGGGCTAGAACTGAAAATATTGCCCTCTGCTACGTTCCTCTGAGATGCTGAGGACAGTAAAGATGGAACTGCGTTGTCAGATAGAGACCGACTATAGTGAAATTTACTTTCATGTCTCGAGAACTCAGTTATAAAAAACTCAAAGTTATCAAATCTGGTGTTTCCACAACTTTTATTGTTGCTATGTGTTTTATTACTGATCTGCAGCCTGTTGGTCGGCTGCCATGCTGTTTTTAATGTGCTTAGAAATACTTCTCCTATAGTATGGAGATACTATACTGTTATACTGGATAATACTGTCATTGTACTGGAGGCAGCTGCTGATGTAACCGAGGTTTAACCAACATTTAAACATTGAATTAGGTTTCGTTGGGTTTAAGAAGCAGCAGGAAAATCTCCATCTGCCTGTGATACAGAACACCAACGTCCATCCTCGTTCTCTTACAGGCAAGAAATCCCACCTCCGGAAGACCAGTGAGAAGAAGCCGCCCACAAAGGAGTCCATTACCAAGCTGCAGCAGTCGGCCATCTGGAAGATGGAGAACGAGTTCTACGAGTTTGCTCTGGAGCAGTTCCAGTTCGTCAGGGCGCACGCGGTCAGAGAAAAGGACGGGGAGCTCTACCTGCTGGCACAAAACTTCTTCTACGAGAAAATCTACCCCAAAAACTGAGGAGGCTGGTTTCCGGGGGTAGTTTCAGAGGAGCCCGGGGCTTTTGGTACGGGTAAAGTAGCTGTGCTTTCTGAAGGAAGGGTGGAGACTTCCTGCTGATGGAGAACAGAAGGTGGAGAAGCAACCGAACTGGACAGTCAGCTGGTTGTTCCTAGCAGCTTCCCGAGCGAGGCGCCCTACTGGCATGAGAGAGACGGACAGCTGTGTACTGTCTGGTTGTGTTTGATGTCTTTGAGACGATTGTTGTTCATATGTACAAACTAACCTTTTATATGGCGAACGCCACCCTCACGCCTCACTCCTGCTGCTGACGCTCACACACTGTAAAAAGCTGGCTGTGATGTTTTCTTATTAGACTGGAATAAAACGTCGGATTCTTTTCTGACCCTACTTTTTCTGAGTCTTGTATCGAAGCAGGTGTGAATGCATGGGCGGAGCCAGGCGGTAGCTAAAGCAACGGCTTAGCAACCCCAACTTTTCCATGACCCCCCGAAGCGCGCGCTTCATGCCGACGCGTGCCGGCCCGGAGAGCAGCGGGACCAGGCTCCGTCCCGCACTCTTGACCGCCTCCCCTTTCGTAAATCTTGCATAAAGTGCGTGGAGGAAGCCGTGGCTGGCATCAAACCGGGAGGCGGGACTTAAGCACAGGTCCGGTGCGTGTGGAGCTTTCCCGAACCATCAAAACGGATGAGTTGGACAAGCACGGTGGGAAACGTGCCGTTAAGAGACGCGAGTCTGCTCAGAAGAGTCACGGTGGGGGGCCTGATATGCAACGGTGCAGAAAGTCTGTCTCGAACCATGTTGGTCAAAAGCAGGTTTCCCAGGAATTAGACAGGTTCGTGTTACAACCCAAAGGTGGTAACGGAGAAGGTGCTCCTCCTTGAACCTTATCGTGGTGGAGGAGTTTGAGTGCCCTAATGATCCTAGGAGCTGTGCTGTCTGGGGCACTTTGTGCCCCTGGTAGGGTCTCCCATGACAAATGGGTCTTAGGTGAAGGGTGAGACAAAGAACGGTTCACAGGATATTTCATGGATTTACAATCAAAGAGTCGGAGTACCCGGCCCGGAGGGTTACCGGGGTCCCACCCTGGAGCCTGGCCTGCGGTTGGGGCCCGTGAGCGAGCGCCTGGTGGCCGGGCCGAGCCCGAACCGGATACCTGGGCTCATCCAACCGTGGACCCACCACCCGCAGGAGGAACATGAAGGGTCCGGTGCAGTGTGGATCGGGTGGCAGACCGAGGCGGGAGCCTTGGCGGTCCGATCCCCGGACAAGAAGGTGCTGGGGTCGTGGCTAAACCCTATTAGACGCCTCGACTTGGTCTCAGAGTTATGAGAAAAAAGTCTAATTCTAACATCAGACTTGACTTTATTCAGAGATGTTTTTTTCTCTTAAATATTTCCGGATTTGTTGTCGTTTTAGAATAAACACCCTTTTGTTTCTAAACTAAAAACAGTTGCAGGGTTTGCTCTCTCCTTTCAACGGGATGTTGATGTTAAAAATAAACATAAATGGATAAATATTACTGGTGTAACGGGATGTAGCGGTTACCTTAAATAAATGACCAGTAAGATGTGATATTCCATATAAATATGAATTATCAATATTATTGACCTTTAGACATTTGATGGAACCAGCTGTTTTTGGCAGTGCAGGGAAATCACACCATAATAATTTGAGACGGAGGTAAAATTTAGTTTATAAAAATCTATTTAAGATGAAATACTATTTATTTACTTCTAAACTAATGACGACAGAACTAATTATGATGGACGATGGTCGAAACAAGGTAACTGAGATGATGGAACGTGAGCTTCGATGTTAGCAAAACAAATCCTGATGTCTGGGTGGTAAAATCAGTCTGAATGTCTGGTTTAACAAACTACGCATTAATAAAGCCGTCCCACGCCCCGTGTGACCCGGGGCCGGAGACGTCGGGACGACATGATGGAGTTGATGTCTGGAGCCCGTAGTTCCACCTCTAATACGAACCGTCTGGTCTGCACTAACTTCCAGGTGACTGCTGGAAGCTGCTTAGCATCTGATGCAGTTTGCAAGGAAGGTTTTGACCTTGGGGTCAAAAGGGAAGATGGCTCCTTATGCTTCGCTTACCCAGTCGGCCGAAGGGTAGCTCGCCAGAACTGGCTTGTTCAGGAAGTGAACGCTTTTATTAACTGTTGTTTGTCAATTTGGACAAATCAGCATTTGACACGTTAAAGTGGGCGTCGTCATCGACTTCAGACGCCACTCCTGTAAGATTATTTCTGAATGTGAAGTGAAAATATGAACCATTAACAATAATCTGTGAATATGCTGATAGATTAGCATTATTAAATCCAACAACAGACTAATCTGGTGTAATCTAAGATCTGGAATAAACCATTATATGTTTAACTCATCATTACTGTAGCACTGTATTAAAACACTTTAGATTTAAAACGCATGTAGGTACCACATCATACGACTGAAACAACTTGTAAAGCTAGAAAGTCATCAACGAGCCAGAAGAGATGACTTCATATGTAAAAGAGATGGAACGGGATAAGTTACGGAGCCTTCATAATCCACACCTCCGGTGTCGGGTTGACATGACCCGTGTGAAATAAAGTTCACTTTTTGCCATTTGATGAAAAACAGGCTTGAGTAGAAATACAAACATAACAAACCCTGAAAATCAACAGGTGTCTGAGTACTTTCTGTACCCAGTGTGAGTTCAGATCCTCCTTCTCACACACATGATCAAGCTTCATCACACATCAGTGACCCGATTGTTCCTAACGGAGCGCTTCGCTCTCAGACTGCAGGTTTACTGCTGGAGAAGCAAGCCGGGACCAGAGCGAGGCTGGAAGGCAGGAACCCCCAGAGAATAATCCAGAAATCTTGGAAAGTCTAGAACAGGAAGGAAGTGGATGCCAGGAGAGGGCAGTGATGTCATCTGAAGAAACTCAGCACATAACCACACACACACACAGGGCGCTGGACCATAGACCCCACAACTGGCGCCAGATGGAAAAGACCAAAGTACAAAACAACTAGGACCATGTGTACGGAGGATAACCGCAGATAGATGTAGGACACCACGTGTACCGAAAAGCTGCAGAAACGAGCTAAATCCTGCAATATGAAAGCCGTTGAAAGCGATTAATGAAACGGAAACTAATAAAAGCTGAAAAGGCAGCAGAAAACATAAAGTCTTCGTAGCGCTTCACTTATTAGTTTATGTTGCAGCTTCATTCTAAGACAGATTCAATTCATTTTGCCCATAAAATTCAACACACAACATCCCATAATGAAAATGTGGAAGTTTGAAGTTGTTGCAAATGTACTAAAAATGAAAACGTGACAAATCACATGATCATAAGTAGCTCAGAAGTGAGCCGAGCTGCGTTCGGTTTCCACTGATCGTCCCTGAGGCGTTTCAGCAGGTTGATGGAGTCCACCTGTGCTGAACGAAGCTGATTGGACACGAAGTGGAAAGTAGTGATGGGAATTCCAGCTCTTTTTAGAGAGCCGTTTTTTTTGGCTCAGCTCACCAAAAAGAGCCGGCTCTTTCGGCTCCCAAGTGGCTCCTCAGATTTTCTGTTGCGTAGAGTACATTTATAACCAAAATGATGCAAAACTATATGTAAAATGATTTAATAATGTAAAAAAGCAATATATCAAATATTCATCATTTCTATGGATTTAATAACTGAACACTTTAAGAAATCTCCACTTTCCGACTGCTGGCGCTCATTTTCTCACCGTCTTCGTCGCACTCTCCTCTCTCTCGCCTTTTTCCTCCTCCTCGTTCCCTCTCGTCTCCCTCCACCCGCATGTGCTCTGCTGTGTGTCTGAGTCTGATCCTCCTTCTTCCTCGCCCCTGCTGCTCTGTGTGTGGACAGTCTGGACACGCAGTTACACATGTTGACCAATCAGACGCCTGTAGCGTTCACCAAATCAAGAGGGGAGGGGGGAGGGGACGGCTCCCGTCGTTCACTTCAAAGAGCCGGCTCTTAGAGCCGGTTCGTTCGCGACCGACACATCACTAGTGGAAAGGCACACACCTCTAGAGGAAAGTCACCATGTATTAATGGCCGTGTTCGAGATGAGCCAGTTCTGCGCAGATTAGACCAGCGGTGATCAGCGAGCAGTGCATGCCGGTTAGATTTGTGTCCGACTTGACGCCGACTTGCTCTGACGTCATGCATACGTAGGCAACGATAACCTCGTGAGATCAAGGCGGCCGCAGATTTTGGAGCAAGGCGCTGCAGTTGCTCTCCCTCGGCTGCAAAACCTAGAGGATGACGGGAAACACCTGGCTCTCACCTGATCTAAGATCTGATTGGTTCATATTCTGATCCAAACATCCGGTGGTAGAACATGAAATGTTAGTTGGTCACATGTATTCTGTAAATCATGCTATGTTGATGATGACAACTATATAGGCCATAAAGAGAAATGTGTTTTGTGTTCTTTTGTCACGTTTCCTATGAGCACACTGAAGCTACAGCTGATAACCTTTACTTATTATAACAGTCATGTCTCCATATACAATATATGATATCCACAAGCACGTGAGGATGTGTTTCAGCTGCTGAAAATTAAACAAGTGTGAACTCTAACGCGATATCTTCAGCCATCGTCACCCCCGAGCTACACATGTAGGGAAATCTGTCCGACGTAAACGCCGGCTTTCAGCCACGCCCCCTGCTGCTTCCGTCTGCTCTCGTCTGTTTTCCAGGCGAGGCGCTGCTCAACTCGAACACGGCCTTTGCCTACAGGGCTATGATGTAAAACTTTGTGTGACGTCAACCAATTATAATAGAACTCTTAATGTTGTTGAGTTACTAAAGTAGGAAACACTATCCTCCGTTTGTCCCTGCAGGTACGCTACAGACGTTTAAATACCTAAACAAACCATAACTGGATTCACGAACCATTTCAACGATTTCAGAGGTGCTTTAGATCTCGCACATACCTGCTGCAGGATGTGAGACCAACTCTACTCGTTGCTGCATAAAATTCACAATTGCCACATACAACAAAAATAGACACAATTATTATTCAGTGCATATTGATGCATTAACACAATGAAAGGCAATAAGCTCAGTCTCACACTTGAAACATCTGATACATATAAACTCAGGTAGTTATTTTATTCTGACAAGTCGGTCATAATGTCCGACAACTAAAATTAAAACACGTTGGTGATGTTTTCACACACTGCTGTTGCACTGTGCTCCCTGTTTGTGGCGGGACAACCACAGGCAGCAACGTCAGTGTGCTAGTGATGTGTCGGTCGCGAACGAACCGGCTCTAAGAGCCGGCTCTTTGAAGTGAATGACGGGAGCCGTCCCCTCCCCCCTCCCCTCTTGATTTGGTGAAAGCTGCAGGTGATTGGTCAACATGTG